GTAGAAAATTGACCAATCACAGTCGAATATAAAAAGAATAATCGACCATGATTGGTCAATTTTCTATGACTTAAGACTCTACGACCGCTATGACTTCTATTGTAGACCCCGCATTAGGGTCCTGGCACACAAAAAACTTAAGGCAGTAAGACGTAAGCAGTAAGGAAACCAACATGTTGGATTCGCTATTGCTTCTGTATGGCCTTACGGACTCTACTGTGATTGGTCAATTTGCTTACTGCTTACGTTTTATTGCTTAAGTTTTTTGTGTGCTATGGCCCTTAAGCCTTGTATCCACGATGCTAGAAATTGGTCCGAGATCTCGGAGAGAGAAAGAATTAACCAATCACATTTAAACAATTTAGTCACATGATCAATGCGATTGGTCAATTCTTTCTTCATCCGAGATCTCGGACGAATTTCTAGCATCGTGGACACTGGGCTTTAGGGCCCTGGCACACAAAAAAACTTAAGGCAGTAAGACGTAAAGCGGGGAGCACAGACTCTTGCATAAAGCCCATGGCACATACAAAAACGTAAGGCCGTAATACGTAAGCAGTAAAGAAATCGTAAGATTGGATTCGCTACTGGCCTTACGGTCTCTATCGTGATTGGCCAATTCGCTTACTGATTATGTCTTACGGCCTTACGTTTTTGTATGTGCCATGGGCTTAACGCATAACACGTAATGCATAAGAAAATGTACCAATCAAAGCTCTCCGTTTCCTTCCTTTCCATGAAATAAAGAATTCTGATTGATTGAATTTCTTATGCATTACATGTTATGCGTTATGCAAAAGTCTGTGCTCCCCGCTTAAACAGTAAGGAAATCAACATGTTGGATTCGCTACTGCTTATGTTATGGCCTTATGGACTCTACTGTGATTGGTCAATTCGCTTACTGCTTACATTTTACTGCTTAAGTTTTTTTGTGTGCCATGGCCCTAACAGAATATATATATAGGGGCTCAATTCATCTTTCTTTCTTTTCTCTTCAGAAGGAAAGAAGAAGAAAAATGAATTGGTACAAAAGTTCAGCCAAAAAGAACAGGCCTTATAATTCGACTGTAACAGGAGAATACTTGACTGTAGTTGGTTGATTCCTTCATTCTGACCCGGTTCGAAACCTCGGTGGAAACTAAGGCTATAAATGCCTGGTTTAAAGTCATCACACGTACAAAAATTTTAGTCGTAATTGTAAGGCCGTAAGCAAATCGATCAATCACAATCGAACGTTTTAAAACGCGGAAAATTAACCTTACTCTATCCGAAATCATTGTTCCAATTGAATCATGCACAACGCTACAGTTTGTGCATTCTTGTGTACGTTTGTGTCAAGATGTGTTTAGCAATTGCAAAGCACCCATTGAAGATTGAAGTTTAAGATTGAAGATTGAAATTTGACCAATAAGAACAAAGAATCAGGCTAGGCATTGAAGATCGAGATTGAAGATTGAAAGATTGAAATTTGACCAATCAAAACAATAAGAGCTAAAATACCTTTATCCTCAATGGTCAAATTTTAATCTTCAATCTTCAATCTCAATTTTCAATGCGTAGTCTGATTAGGTCTCTTTCCGTCCTGACGGAGATTCCGATTGGTATCTTCTCCCATATGGGGGCCTGGCGTCACTGGCTTCTTCTCTCGAAATGAGAACACGGAGCGTCTTCTCTCGTTTAGGAGTACGGTGCTTTCGGTCCCGTTGTCTGGGGGGGGGGGGG